GACCACATGGAGGACAATTTCACGGAGCAATCATTGGTGGCGCTCCAACGCTGGGGCCCATCAGCGGCAGTGGGAAGCGAGCAGGATCAGTCGAAGCGAGCTCGAACAGGCCCAAGCAAGCGAGATCGAACTCAAGTGGAAAGGGAGCCTCCTCTACGAGACCTAGTTTGGGCCATGGGACAGCTAATGCTGAGACGCGAACAGGACCTTCAATCCATGGCACAGCAGGACACATTCCTCCAGTTGGCAGCCAAGAAGGCAGCTTGCCCCTACTTCAGGCGGCCCATCGGGCCTGGAGCGATCAGAAAGAGCGGACTACCAATCTCCGCACACATCTGATCCTCACAATGCTTCGCGAGCTGCAGAGGCGCCTCTTGAAGCTGATGAGTGGGGCCGACAACGATCCAATCAAGGTGGCATTGGTGAAGAACGGCATTTTGCTGGAAGACCACACGTGGCCGTACATGCAATGGGACATGAAGGAGAAACGGCTGATCTACAACAAGACAAGGACGCCTGTGACAATGAATGTCACCCAGGAGATGCTGGAAGAGATGTTGACCTTGGTCAAGGAGGACGGCGCCATTCAGAAATTCCACTCTCTGAGCAAGCCGGAGGATTCCAAGAGCCAGCCGTGGAGGCTACAAGTCGGTTTGCGGAACGACCGACTCCACAAGCTGTTCACTCAGAGCTGTGAGCCTATGGCAGATCATCGGCATTCAAATGAAGCCGCACTCGTTGAAGGCATCCCCCCTCGCCCTGAAGGTCAAGGATATGACGCAGCGCCTGTGATGACGGCAGAGCATGGCCGCATTGCTATGCTGATAGCCAAGTGGGAGCTACTGAATCCGGCGAACCACTGTTTTGCCAACTCCTCCATGTTGGCAATGGTTTGGGCTTGTCTTCACCGTGTTCACTTTGCCACGGCTGACTGGGGTGCATTGCAGTTGGGACTCGAAGCCATGTTGCAACAGAGTGCTACTCCTTTCGTACTCTTGGGGATTGAGCAATTTGGAGACCTTTTTGCTCACTGGTGGAACCCGACAGCGGGATGCAGTTCAGTTCACCACCTTTCTCAGCTCACAGCTGAATCCAGCTCTCGTCCATCACCTCTGGGAACAGAGGTATGCCAGAGTGACTGGAGTAGTGAAAAGACACACTCATGCCATGGGCGCAGTCCCGCTGCACCTTCGTGTGATGCCTGACCCACAGCATTCAGTGTTTCATTTGATTGAGAATTGGGAACACGATTCTGGCATGATCGCTGCTTTCACACACTTCCCTCCACTGTTGATTTTGCACTTGGACCGGCTGAAACCGATGGCAGGTTTGACGTATGGTCAGAAGCTCACTTCCAAGGTCCATCTAGACTCGATGTTTCAGGTGCCGCAGTTCCGAGGAGATGGCATTCCGACCTTGCACCACGACTACGTGATCGTGGCTGCTGTGGCCCACTTGGGGCAACCTGGTGCTGGGCACTATAGGGCTGCCTTGCGCCGGGGAAAAGGCACGAGCACTTCTGAATGGCTCCTGAGTGACGACGGCTGTAGGCCAACCCCTGTGAAGAAACTTCCGGGTTGGTTTGAATCTCAAGTGTGTTTAGCATGGGCCATTCGTGTGGCTGACGCTTGTAAGCTCTGGGTTGATTTTGGCAGTCTCCCCCACTCTGATTTTGACATCTCCGGAGTGCTGAGACTTTTTGCCGATTGAAATGGCTGCGGATTTGAACTGACTCCTTGCCAAGAGGAGCACTTGGTCATTTTGACCTGCTGAAGCATGAAGCCTTCCGTCGAGAAGCCATGACATCATGTCATGTTCAGGTTGCAGCGCAAAGGCGCTATGAAGCCCTTGGCGTCCCAAATGCCGAAAAATGCCAACCTAATAACGATGGCCTCCAACCTCATAACGATGGCCTCCAACCTAACAACGATGGCCTCCAACCTAACAACGATGGCCTCCAACCTAA